GACTTCCTTAAGTGTGACCCTGGAAGCTTCAGGCACTGCACTGCCTTCCCTTATACTGGCAGAGAAGAAAAGCTCATTGACTTGGGTGGCTGTGTGTGCAGCCTGCCCCGGGGATTTTGTGTGATTGGATGTGAACTGGCAGGGCATCAGAAAGCGTCTGGCTGGCGCTGTGGTGGTGGCTGTGCTGTGACAGTGAGATGCAGGCAGTGACTCCATGCTTCTGTCTCCAGATGAAAGTGCTCTGCTGTTGCTCCAAGAGACAGTTTGCTCTGTGGTGTTCTCAGCACTCACAGATCCCAGCGTGCAGCTCCAGCTGGTCGGGATCAGGGCGCTGACTGTCCTGGGCTCTTTGCAAGGTTGGTGTCTCACATCCCCTGGGGAGGCAGAGGGGAGGCGTTGCGCTGCTCTGGGAGCTGTGGTCAGCTGCCTGTGCTGCATGTGGATGCACAGGAGGAGTGGCAGCACTTATTCATTCTGTGAGCTCCAGGAACACTTGATTTATCTTGCCTGCTTGTGCTGGGCACCTTGTATCTTTGGAGTTTGTGTGATGCTGCATTGCTAACAGCCTGGACAAGAAGAGGGAAGGATGCTGGCCAGAACACTGGGATCTTAGCCTTTGGCCATGGGCATAATTCTTCTATGGCTCTTGTTCCAGGCTTCCTGTCTCCCTCTCACCTGGAGCTGGTTGTGGATCATCTTGTCCGGCTTGCTCTTCATGAAGAAGATTCCCAGAGCAGGTGAGTGCTGGGCTGACACTGCTTCAGTCACCCAGTCACTGGGAAGAGGAATGAGACCTGGCTCTGCCGCAGAGATGGGCTTAGTCTGGGTGGAGACAAAGGAACTGTGGAAAGTAGAGACCACGTGTGTGTAGAAGCAAAGGATTAAGCCAGGTGGTTTCTGGAATCAGAATTAGAAAGTCTGGGTCTGTCAAAGCAAGGGACCCTACTGCCAATAGGATGAAAAAGGCAGAATCCTAAGAAACGGGTTTCTGGTGGGTATGTTCTGGCCCAGATCTTTGCAGCTGATGCACAAATAGCCCAGAGTTTGCATTGTTTACGTCATCCCTCCTGCTCTCTTCCCTCCTGGCAGTGAAGCAGCGATGGAAGCAGCTGGATCTCTGGCCCCTGTCTACCCAAAAGTTTTCTCTGGGCGCATGGTGCCCAGGCTTGGAGAGGAGCTGCAGTCAGGTAGGACTGACAGCCTTGCAAAGGGATTAATTTCTATTGGGGTGAAACAGAGAGACTGTACCATATGGTTCTTCTCATTGAGGAGTTCCTAGCACACATGCTGTGTTGCTTGCACTGTGTCTGGGGATCACAAGCAGCCTGCACAGTAGGGACTGCCCTTGAGGAGCTGCCCAGTCACAGGCAGGACAGGATGCCTTGGACTTGGCTTGGGCCGTTCTTTTTGTGCTGCTACACTCAAAATTGAGCACTGCAAGGGGGCTGGGAGCCATTCCAACACCTCTCTGAGCTGCATTTCCTCTTTAGAGCGAGAGGAAGAGAGCTCCCAGGATCTCCGCTCCTTGCAGCAGCGCTGCCTGCAGGCCTTGGCAGCCGTGTCCACGCACACCAGCATCGTGAAGGAAACTGTCCCTGTTCTGCTCCAGCACCTCCGGAATGTGCAGAAAGGTAGCACAGCTGGCAGCAGGCAGCTCTGTGCAGCACCCACTCCTCAGGAGATGAGGAGCGAGGGCTGTGTTGCTGACCCCCCTGTGTCCTGTAAATGAGGCCACGTGCCTGATTGCTGCCCTAAAATGCTGGTGTGGATGTGGGGGTGGGTGCAGTGGCTGTTGATGCGATGCTGAATGTGCCCTGCAGGGAGCGAGGCCGGGAATGCCCGGGAAGTGGTGTCAGTATGCCAGAGCCTGCACCGCGTGGCCCTGCAGTGCCAGCAGGACGCGGAGGGCTGCTGGTATTACCACCAGGCAGTGGTGCCGTGTCTGCTGGCTATGGCTGTTCAGGCTGCCACACAAGGTAAGCAGTGCGGCTCGAGCAAGAGAGAGATCAGCAGCAGTGCGCTCGGCTTCCTGGTCCAGCAAAGAACGCTGCTGCTGCCACCCAACGGCAAACGCGGGCACTGCGGGCCCCTGGTCAGAGGCAGAGCACCGGTGCTCCGTGGCATGTGGGTCACAGGGCTGTGCCTGCCTCTGGGCAGTGCCAGTAGGCTCCACCGCTTCCCTTTCCACCCGTTGTTTGCAGAGAGCAGCCACCCACTGGTAAGCAAGGCGCTGCTGGAGGAGGAGGTGCTGACTGCCATGGTCCCTGTTATCAGTGCTGCCACCACTCACCTTAGCCCTGAGTGAGTAGTGCTGGTGTGGGATGCTGGACACTGCCTCGAGGGAAGGGCAGGCTGCGTGTCCCTCTGCTGCTCCACAGAGGAGGTACTCAGAAATTCTCTGGTGACACTCCCAGAGCAGCACATTGCGATGTCTCCTTTCTCTTAGGCTGGCTGCCCAGAGTGTATCTCATGTGGTGCCCCTCTTCCTGGATGGAGAGGTCTCCTTTCTGCCCCAAAACAGTTTTCCTTGCTCTTTCCAGCCCTTCGAGGTGTGTGGGGTGTTTTAATTGGGCAAGGACTCGGGATGTTGGCACAGGCTGCCAATGAGGATCATGGTGATGTGGGTGTGCTGTTCTTCCCCCACAGGATGGGGAGTGTTGGGAGCCACAGAGACGCCTAGTTGCCCTCCTCATGGCCTTTGTCTGTTCCTTACCCCACAATGTAAGTTGGTGAGGAGAAGGGTAGAAAGGGCCTTGGCTGAGCACCATTCTGTCCAGATCCATAGTGAGCTGCATGGGCAGAGAAAGGGAGTAGTAGTGGACCTAGTTTGTAACACACTCCCTGTCTCTTTTAGGTGGTAATTCCACAGCAGGAACGGTTGCTCCGGGAACTGCTGGCACTGAGTTGCTCCTGCAGCTGTCCCTTCACAGCCACCACAGCTTCCAAGTGCTTTGCAGGGCTTGTAAACAAGCACCCAGCAGGTAAGGGAGGAAACGGATTTTGGGGGTCCCTGCTCAGGGCCAGCAGGGAAATGGCTCAGTCTCCCACTTCTGTATCCCCAGGGCAGCAGCTGGATGAGATCTTGCAGCTTGCAGTGAATAGGATGGAGCCTGGCCTTACAGAAGGGCCTCACCGAACGCAGGCACTCACCCTGCTGCTCTGGGTAAGGCTCCTCTATGGTGAGAAGGAAGTGCCCTGGGGTGCCCCAGCTGTGTGATGCTGACTCTGCTCTGCCTGCACAGGTGACTAAAGCCCTGGTGCTGCGCTACCACCCTCTGAGCTCCCATCTAACAGACAAGGTAGGCAGCAGTGAGGTTGGGCACTCCTGAAGGAGCCTTCCCACTCCCCCTGCCTCTGGTCAGCAGCCCAAGTTGCCATGGCTCTCTTTTTCAGCGCTCTCTTCCTTACAGCTGCTGGGCCTGCTGAGTGACGTGGAGCTGGGCCCCACTGCAGCCGATGGCTTCTCCCTGCTCATGGCTGAGTCCCCAGACGTGCTGCACAAGGGCTGCCATGCTGACGTGCGCATCATGTTCCGCCAGCGCTTCTTCACTGACAACGTGCCCAAGCTGGTGCAAGGCTTCCATGGGGCTGGTGCCGGTGAGCAGCTGGCCCCAGCCTGGCCTCACCACTTAGTGCCCCTTTACCCTGGGGATCTGAGCCAGCATCCCCTCCTTCCCCTTGCTACTTGTGACCATCTCTGCCTACAACAGATGTGAAGGCCAATTACCTGAAGAGTCTATCCCATGTGCTCAACCATCTTCCCAAGCCTGTGCTGGTGACAGAACTGCCCACGGTGAGAGCCAGCCTCAGTAAGGGGGGCTGCAGCAGTGCAGGCTGCACAGCAGGGTTACTCACATTTCCAGTGTCATCTCCACCCACAGCTGCTTTCCCTCCTGCTTGAGGCCTTGTCCTGCTCAGACCGTGTAGTACAGCTCTCTACCCTGAGTTGCCTCCAGCCGCTGCTGCTCGAAGCCCCCCAGATCATGAGCCTGCACATCGACACACTGGTCACCAAGTTCCTCAGCCTCACCTCCAGCCCCGCCATGGTGCGTACGCCTCTCTCCTCTGCACCACACCCCCCTCTCCTGTGTCCCAGCCCCTTCCATCCTTCTTTCCTTTCCCTTTCAGGCTGTCCGCATTGCTGCCCTGCGTTGTGCCCACGCGCTCACCAGCCTGCCCACAATAGTGGTAAGTGCTCCTGCTTCCTGCTCCTCCTTGTGCAAGTGGGTCCCAGCCATGGCTGGGGCAGCCAGCACCCTGGAGGGCTCTTGCTGAGAGCAGTAGTTGTCCTCCAGCTGCTCCCATACAAGGCCCGAGTTATCCGGGCGCTGGCCAAGCCTTTGGATGACAAGAAGAGGCTGGTGCGGAAGGAGGCAGTAGCAGCACGAGGGGAATGGTGAGTGCATGGCTCAAGCTGCAGGGGAGTCAGCATGTTTAAGAGGTGGCTGATGGCAGTCTCTGTCTCCACAGGTTCCTGGTGGGGAGCCCGGGCAGGTGAGCACCCTGCATCCCCTCCCTGTGCTTACTGACAATCTGACCAGGATCCCGTCAATGCTGTGGACCCAGCTTCCCTTGGAGCCTGGTATTGCCTGGAGCACTGAGGCTGAAGAATGGAGACCTGCAGGCAGCACCTCCCCTGTGGCCCCTTCCTGGCCCACTGCCCTCTCTTCTGCACCTAGCAGAGGGAAGGAGCTGTGCTGCTTATGACTTACCTGTACCGGGGACACTGAGGGACAGATTTGCCACGTGTGAACTGCACGGGCAGGCTTGTGCACGCAGCTGCTCTGTGCAGCACCCCATGTGTGAGAGGAATAAACTTGTCTGTTTTGGTAATGCTGTGTGGGGTCTCAGCCTGGGCTGCACTGAGACCCCAGTGCCCACAGCTGAAGGGCCTGGGTGCAGGTCCTTACTTCTCCTTGCAAGCCGGAATCATAAGACTTCCTCTGCCCTCAGCCAGCTGTATCTCCCACCAAGGAGAAGAGTCAAACATCTTGTTTTTTTTAAAAAACACAAAACACCTTTATTGGATGCTCTTAAAAAGTCTCCCTGGGGAATGTTTAGGGGGCAGGTAAGCCATCCTCTGCCCCCTGCCCTGTCACGGAGCCACATGGGGCTCTGTGCTGGCCCACATTGGTGCGCAGTGAGGGCAGTACCTTCATTGAGACAGGAATAGCAGCTTTGCCCCCTTCCCCAGGGCTGCCTGCAGCCACTGAGGCACTAATAGAGCAGGCAACCAGGCCTCAAAGTTCCATTTCCTAGAGCTCTGGCTCTGGTAAAAGGTGTGTGCCAGCACACCTGCCTTCCCCCAGCCACTTAGGCCAAACTGAGCCGTGGTTGTGGAGTGGGTCCCCTGTGTCTCCCCTGCCAGCAGGGAGGGACTGCTGCAGCACCCAGACCTCAGATGGCCAGGAGCGGTGCACGCTGCTCGGTCATGCAGGGAGGCAGCTCCCAGCTCAGGCCTGTTCCATGGGGCAAGTGAGGAGAGGGCAGCAGGACACGGGTGAGCCAGTGCCTGTGGGAAGAGAAGCAAAGCCTGCAGCAAAAAGCTGAAGTCATGGCACCACAGAGTGGAGCCAGGGCTGTTATGTGCCAGTAAGGTACATGAGTCCATGGCCCTCAGGTGCCACAACAGCCTCCCTCTCCTGGCAGAGGCTCAGCCAGAGCTTGCCACTAGGCAAAGCTGAGGCAGCTGGAGGCTGCACTACAACTGGGCTCAAAAACTGCTCTGGGTCCTCTGAGCCCTGTAAAGCTGGTTCCTGGGTCCCAGCACCCTTGTGCTTTACCTTGGCACATCCACTCCCAGAAACACCTTCCAGTTATCCCAGCTGCCATAACTGTAGGGGTTTCTGAACACCTGTGGGCCAGAGAGATGCACATCAAGTCTGGCTCTGCCTGGCTGGCCCTCCCACCCTGGGGCTGTGCTTACCTTGCCTTTCTTCTGCAGTCGCTGCCTCTCCTTCTTATTGATGTGCCTCTCAATGCTGGTTTCTCCACGGGTGATGAGGGCAGCATGCCACAGTGTGAGGGCACCCAGGGCCAGTGCTACTGAGCTGAGGACAAGCCACAGCAGGTTGCACATAGGTCTTCACCAGTGTCATAACTGTGGGGGACTGAGGCTGTTCTCCTGAGCAAGTGCAGGTGGTTTGATGGCTTTAATCCCATGTGCCAGGGAGCTGAAATCAGTTCTTGGGAGCCCAAGAGCCAGCAGGGCAGGGATGTCTGTGCTAGAGCAAAGCAGTCTAGCCCAGGGAAGGTGGCATACAAGGGACAGCACAGCAGTGCTGCAGCGGGCCCCACTGCTTTCCCCAGCACCCTCCCAGCCTCTGTAACCCCATTTACCTGCATAGGACCCAGAGGTAGACCACACTCTTGTGGAAAGCTCGCTGGCGGAAGGAGAATGTGGGTGGTGGGGTCTGGTAATACGTCTGAAAAAGGACAGAGAGGGGCACGTTACCAGAATGCTTTATAGTGTAAAGCCAGGCAGGTAGTGCAGTGCTCCTTTGATGAAGGAATCAAGCAGTTAGAAAACACTGGCATCAGAACCAACACAACAGCCAGGGCAAGAGGGAGGCAGCTGAAGACAGCCACAAGACAGACAGACACCACTTGAGAGCTGGCATATGAGTGACAAGCAGTGTGCTGGAGCTCAGGGAGCAGGTCACTGCACCACACAGGAGATGATGCTCAGGGTGAGATGTGTTTACATACTGCCGCTGCAGCTTCCCCAGGAGAGCAGAGCCTGAGTAGCATGCCAAACAGTGGCTTGGCCCCAGTGCTGTTGCTGCCACCAGCCAAAGCCATTGAAAGCTCGGTACATGGGGAAATCAGACCCAAAGCTGACGGAGGTTGTGCCTGTAGCAGAGCTGCCCAGGCAGCCCTAACTCTGTGACTCATGAGACAAGCATGGGGGCTGGTTCTGGCCTCAGGCTTCACTTTGAGAGCAGGATTCAGCCTGCAGGGCAGCTCTGCTCCACGCTGCCTGGAGCAGCTGGGGAGCAGGGATGTCCCACCTGGTTGGCGGCCACCTGCAGTCTCTCCTTCTCAAGTAGTTTCAGTCTCTAGGGGGATGGAAAACACAGGGCACCAGTTACATGGCTCAGAGGAAAGGGCCGTTCCTCTCAAACCTCACAGGGCTAAGGCAGCAGGGACTTCACAGGAGGAGGGAGAGGAGAAGCAAAGTCAGTACAGTGCTAGTGCTGGTTCAGCTTTGATATGCAAGCTCAGCCTAGGGAGACCAGGCAGCCTCTGAGTATGCCAGCACTTCCTCTCCTGGAGCAGATGAGGGGCCATCTCACTCAAACTCACCTCAATGGCTGCATAGGCATCCCGGAACATGTCCCAGCCGCTGATGCTGCAGTAGATGCAGCCCATGGTCATGAAGAGGCAGAAGGAGAAGAAGTAGCGGTGGTTGTAGTGCCCAACACAATTATTGAGCCAGGCTGCCTCTAGGGTTAAAGGTGTGTAACTGTGATGGTCGCTAGTCCAAACCCACCCGATGGGGATCAAGACACCCAGCCAGGCTCTGTGAACCCTCCCCTGCACTGAGTGACTCAGGACAGAAATGGAGCAGGGAGATGAGGAGGAAGCAGGGCTGGCTCCTCAGGAGAGTGCAGTGAGTTAGTACTGCAGAAGGATACGACAATGGTGGTCCATCTTCAGCACACACCTGGGAGGGAGGAGAGCACCACAAGTGTTAGTGCGAATTGCAAGCACCACGTCTGGGAGGGGGCAGCCAGCCCCCTCAGTCCTTCATGCTGTGCTAGAGGCAGGTAAAAAGCCAGCAGAGCAGAGAGGAAGGGGCGCGTTTCTCATGGCTTATGGTGGGGAGGGAGAAGTATCCTACCCCGGGTAGCAGAGGCACTACCTGATGTGGTGGGGAGGCCGGGGAACATTACCTGTTGCAGATGCTGCAGTGATGGGTGCGAGCCGGCTTGGGGGCAATGCATTTCCTGCAGATGGAGACGCCAGTGAGATCGTTCTTGGCCTGCACACAGGTCAGAAAAGAGGATGTGCTCCCAAACCCCACACCATCCCCTGCTCTCCATGTGTTAGCCATACTCCCTCAAACCTGCCTCCCCTCCCAGCCCGTCTGGAGGACGCCTCCTGCAGTGATGCCAACAGGATGCTTCCAGTGGTCAGCTGTACTTAGTCCCCAGTGCCCAGCTGCAAGAGGCTGCACTGCCCATTGGTGCCCAGGCTCAGGCTCAGCCTCACCTGCGGAGGGTGCCCAGGCGAGGTGGTGATGGCCTTGTAGTAGTGGAAGACAATCATGATGAGATTCCAGTGTCCGTAGGCAAGATGCCAGCAAATCCAGGCAGGTGTGTATGTCTGCAGGATGAGGGGCAGCAGGCAGATGTATACGATGGCCACGATGGAGCTTGTCAACCCTATCACCAGTGCCACAAACACCTAAAGGAGAAGGAGTTTGGGTCAGTGGAGTGTGCAGCACCTGCTCCATGCTGAATCCTCACTCCCTTCCACCTGGAGCAGCGCAGCTCAAGCTCTAGGATTCAGTGTCCCCAGCAGCATGCTCGCTACCCCAAACCCCTCTAGCAATGGAGGCACTCACCACACCAAACCAGCGGGTGACATGGTCCACCAGCCAGTAGACAGGCTCAAAGAGGGAGTCAAGCACCACGTCGCTGTCGGTAAAGGAATTGTAGAGCAGGGAGCGGAGACAGAGACGCCCGTAGTGCCACAGCTGTCCTGCCTGCCGCAGCAACTTAAAGCGCCGCCGCCGGCCCAGACGCAGGCACTTGAGGAGCAGGCGCATCACCGCTGCGAACATCCGCTGCCGGCTTCTCATCCCTGCTGAGATGCACCTGCAGGGAAGAGGCTGGATTTGGGCAGGCCGCCCTGCTGCCGCCGTCCCGCGGGGAGGGCGTCCCCTCCTGGGCGTGCTGACGGTGCAGCTCTTGCCAGGTGCCTGCCTGCACAGCGAGGCAGGGCTCTCCTTCACCCTGCACGGGACACAGAGCAGAAGCAGGTGGCGCTGAGCCCGAGCTGGAGCCCGTGTTGCTGCTTTCTTGAGCTCTGCGCATGGAGAGGGGGACACGGGGCTCTCAGGCCTCCGCACCTGACCTCAGATGCTCCCTGCTCCCATCTCGTCTTTCCCAGAGGGGAGGGGGATGGGGACTGACATAGAGAGTCTGACTCAGGGGAAACTAGAGACGGTGCGGGCACCTGGGGCGCTCAGCCCATTCCAGGGCAGGGAATGCTCAAAAACCACGGGGGATCCCCTCACCAGTCTCTCCTAACTGATTCAGAAATGAGGGAGCCCACACAATATACATGCCCTGTCCTCACACCTAGAAGGCAGCATCTGGATGCCACTTCCCTTTGCCTCAGGTTCTGGACCAAGCTGCAGAGGCCACCCCACTCCTATCCCAACCTCACAGCGCTGCACTGAAAGTCCCAGTACCTCTCCTTCACCCTCCCCCAGATCCTCCCAGGACAGTGCCACACTTCGCAGGCACCCCCAGGCCGAGGTGCCGCCCCTCAGACAGCAAAGGAACACACAGCCAAGCGCTCGTCTTCCCATCGAGCCTCTCATCCCACTCAAGGGCCGTGCTGGGAGCAAGGAGGAACCGGAGCCGGCTCCGAAATGAGGCAAACGATCGGCCAGGTCGGGGCCCCCGGGCCTCCGTGCAGGCACGGCCATAAATATTAACCAGCACGGACGACCCGGGATCCTGCCAAGGTCCTGTTCGCCTCGGCACAGCGCCAGGCGGCAGCGCCGCAGCGCAACCAGCAGCAGCGCCGCACCCTGCTCCAGGCACACGCACCGCGCAGCCGGCTGGCGGCGGCACCCAGCCCACCCTTAGAGCGGGGAGGTGGGCTTCGCCAACCCCGCGTGCCACCCCCGCTCCCGGAGACACAGGGCTCAGAGATGCCCTCGCCCGTGACGGACGACGGCAGCTAAGGGGCAGCGCGGCCCAACGGTGGGCAGGCAGCACCCCTCCGCGGGGCCCGCATCGCCACGGGGCCGGGCCGCAGCCTCCCCAGCCCTCCGCTGCGGGCCGAGTTCCCCCGCTCTGCGGCACCCAGCCCGCGGCACCCGGCCCCGGGCCCACGCCCACCTGCCGCCCGCTCCCCGCCGCCCACCGCCATGCCCGGTGCCCGCGCCGCCCTCACGGCCCCGGGCAGCGCCCGCCGCCCCGCGCCTGCGCACCAAGCATGCCGGGAAGCGCCGTCTCCCAGCGCTACACTACGACTCCCAGCGGGCAGCGCGCCACCACTTCTCCCTAGGGATAAAGATGAGCCAATAGGCATGCCGCTTATAGCGCGGCCCCGCCGCTGAGAGCCAATAGGAGGAGGGCTCTTTGTGGACTCACGCGCGACACGGAACATGGCTCCGCCGGCTCGGTACTGCGTGCCCGGTGAGTGCGGGGCCGTGCTGCTGGGGGAGGCCGGGCCGGACGGCCCCGGTGCTGAGCGAGCGTCCCGCAGGCGAGCGGCTGTGCAGCACGGAGGAGGCCTCGGCGGGCAGCGGGACCTACGCGCGGCACGGCTCCATCTTCGCCTCGCTGGCCGGCTGCCTGCAGAAATGTGCCGAGGGCGGCGGGGTGAGCGCGGAGCGGGGCTCTGGGGGGTGCGGGGCGGGCGTGGGTGGCCCCGAGCTGAGCCTGTGTGTGTCTCGCAGCTGCCCGTGGTGTCGGTGGTGCGGGACGCGGAGGCGCAGCTGCTGCCCGGCGTGGGGGCCGTGGTGACCTGCAAGGTAGGTGCCGGGGGTGGGACGGCCCCTCGCGTGTCCCTGTGCGTGCCTGCGGCCCGGGGCTCTGCGCTTTCCTTACAGAGCTCCACGTGGAGGGCAGTGGCCAGAGCGGCGGGGACAGAGAGCAGCAGAGCAGTAAACAAGTCTCCGGGCCCAGCCTGCACTGCACAGGCACTGACTGCCTGCTGTCCCTCTGTTCAGGTGTGCAGCATCAACTCCCGGTTTGCCAAAGTGAACATCCTGTATGTTGGCTCCACACCGCTGAAATCCACATTTCGCGGCACCATACGGTAGGAAAAGGGGGGCGTGCTGCTCAGGGCGGGCTGCCTGCCTGGCGCTGGCCAGTTGGGTGAGGGCAGCTGCCTGGAGACATCTAGCGAGGTCTGGCCAGTGGCCAGACAGGCTGGGGCAGCTCCTCTTTGCTCTCTCTGGTATCACATTCCTGTGTCTCCTTTTCCAGGAGGGAAGACATTCGAGCCACTGAGAAGGATAAGGTCAGCAGGGCATTGCTGGGTTCAGTGCCATTGCAGCTTCCACCTCTCCAGCTCTCATCCTTCTGCTGCCTGTAGTGACTATTAAGAAATACCTGCATTCTCCATGCACTCCTGTCCCTTCCTTCCCACACAGGTAGAAGTCTACAAGAGTTTTCGCCCTGGTGACATAGTTCTAGCCAAAGTTGTATCCTTTCCCATCACGCTGGGCAGGCCCACAGGCCTGGAGGGTTTGTACTGGTTAGAGAGTTTTTCTCTTAACCCGCACCCAACCAGATCTCACTGGGGGATGCACAGTCCAACTACCTGCTGAGCACAGCAGAGAATGAGCTGGGTGTGGTAGTGGCACGCAGCGAGGCAGGTAGGAATCACCCCTTCTCTGTGTGGGGAGCAGCTGATGCAGCTTGGGGAGCAAACACCCTCCTTCTTTCCTCCCACTGCTGAGCCTTGGGGGGCCCAAGAGGAGGCCTTGCACTGCTGGGGATGGGAAATGTGAAAAAAAAGTAAGCAGGAAGGAAACCTGCTGACTGGGGGTGCCTGCAGGGGTGCAGATGGTTCCTATCAGCTGGTGTGAGATGCAGTGCCCACAGACACACACCAAGGACTTCCGTAAGGTGGCCCGCGTGCAGCCGCAGTTCCTGCAGACCTAGCAGCCCCCTCAGGGGCACGGGGACCCCAGGAGGGAGGGCCGCTGTGGTGGGGTCCAGCAGCTTCCATGCAGCTCCACACTTGAGAGACTGGAACAGCAGGATGGATTTTGTATTTGTGCTGTAGGTAATAAATGTTTTTTTCTTTTTTGAGAGCTCTGTGTTCTGCTCAGTTACTGCCCATACGGATTGCTCTGGAGCTGCTGGATGGGGCTGTTTCAGAGAGCAGTGCAGGGGTGAGGAAGCATGTTCCCAGCCTGAGGCTGGGGAAGGGGAACAGTGAAGGGCTTTGAGGCTAGTGCTACTCAGCACAGGCTGCGGCTGCTGCACTCCTCTCCAAGGCCGCTTATCACCTCAGGTCAAACACGCCCTGCATTAGGCAAAGGGAGTGGCACACGCCAGAGGCAGTAAACCACGGATGAGTCGCAGTGAATCACTCTTCAGCAGCAAGGATTGCAGAACTGTGCTTTGCTGTGCAGAGCCCAAGCACTTCCTGCACCCACAAGTCAGCAGCAACTTCTGCATCACAAACACGTGGTAGCACAGGAAAGAAGGCAGTAGGCAAAGTGGGAGCTCCATGTGGCCCAGGAGCACACGGCGCAGTGGCACAGAAAAACACAGGCATTAATTATTGCATATTAATATTTTATTGAACTGGAACAAGACAACTGGTACTGCTGGACAGTTAGTTTGACCCAGTGCAAGCCCAGGCTCACTACAGCAGCAGTGGGGGAGGCTACAGTGACAGTGCCAAGTACGTGTTTGTGGGTTGGGGGCACAATGGCATCTACACCACCTCCATGAGGCAGGACTAGGGTTGGCTTTGGCTGTAGGAAGCACATGGCAAATACAAATTCCCAGACAACACGCTCCTTCCTTTGTCCAAAAGCAATAAGTTAAAGCATTGGCTGGTAGAGCTGGGTCAGGGTTTGCAAGTACTACTACTGGGTGCTGTACTACAACAGGAGCATGCACCACAGTACTACCCATTTAGTATCTAAGCATACTAGTCTTTGTGCCACACAGCCACAAGGGGATTAGGCACCCATCTTGGTTGCTGCCCCCTCCTGCCCACGTCCCACCGCTCCTGTTGTGCTCCTGGAATAACTAAACCAAGCAACAGAACTACAGTAACAGTGACAAGAGCTGCCAGGGAAGCGAGAGAAGCCAGGCATGGCAAAAGATTGCTTGAGAGCATCCCCCCAAGGGCTGGGAACACACAACATAGGGCTGCAGTTGCTGCCTGGCAGAGCAAGGACTCCCTTTCACACCAGACCCCTGTGCACACAGCCCCTCACCCCCCAGCTCCCAGGCTGCCTGCAGAGGTGAGCCTGGTGCAGAGGGAAGGGGCCTAGTCCTGGGGAGCTGCTCCCTGCTCCAGCTCTGCAGCTCCAAGTTCCTACAGCTGTGGGGTGTGCACAGAGGGGTGGGGACGGAGGGGACTCATCTACTTTCTAGTCTGCACACCTGCCTCATTTCTTGACTTTGCCCTGAGCAGCGACAGCCTCCATGGCCTTGCGCACCGTCTCCTCATCTCCTAGGAACTGCATGGGCTTGATGGGCTTCAGGTTCTTGTCCAATTCATACACAATTGGGATGCCGGTGGGCAGGTTCAGCTCCATGATGGCTTCTTCTGACATGCCTGCAAACAGAGGATGGTTACCCAAAGGGAGGGCAAGGGAAAGCCCTGCTCATGTAGAGCCAGAGCAGTGGGAGATCCCAAGCAGTGTGCAGAGCTGCAGTACCTTCCAAGTGTTTGACAATCCCCCGCAGGCTGTTGCCATGGGCCGCAATAAGGACTCTCTTGCCCTCCTTGATCTGTGGGACAATTTCCTCATTCCAGAAGGGCAGGGCCCGGGCAATGGTGTCCTTCAGGCTCTCACATGTGGGCAGCTGGTCCTCTGTCAGGTCAGCGTAGCGACGATCCTGCAGTAACACCACCACACCTGCATCACAGCCCAGCCCCCTCAGGGGCTACACCAGCAGCCATACAGAACAGAAAGGTGGTACTAGGGGCTGAGTGCTGAGAACAGTGACTGAGGAGTGGAAATGGCTTATAGCTATACACCCATGAGAAAGTGCTTTGGGATTTGCCTCCAGCTGCCGACCCTGCCTGAGGGCAATAGCACGGTGCTTGCTGCTGAGCAAACACCCAAGCTTTGGCTGCAGGACTAATGATTAACATCTCCCCTTGACTCTGTGCCATCCCATGGGATTCATCCTCTGCAGGGAGAGCACAGGATGGCCTCAGTCCAGCCCCTGTCACCGATGCTGCAACCGGAGAGCGAAGGGCAGCGTGGGAGGCCTATGCCACGAGGCTCCCCGGGCTCCTGGCAGCCCCTTACCTTGCTGATGGTGCTGAAGAAGGGGTGGTCTGACTGCATGGGCGGCGGGGGGACGTCGAAGGAACGCCTCCAGATCTTCACCTGGGCCTCGCCGTGCTTGGCAGCCGTCTCGGCCTTGTTGAGGCCGGTGAGGGCCCCGTAGTGCCGCTCGTTGAGGCGCCACGTCCGCACCACGGGCAGCCACATCTGGTCGATGGCGTCCAACACGTTCCAGAGGGTGCGGATGGCCCTCTTCTGCACCGACGTGAAGCAGATATCGAACTCATAGCCGGCGTCTGCGGAGGCGGGGGGGGGAGGATTGGGGGGATCAGAGGCCGCACGAGGCCGCACCGTTGCATAACGGGCACCGCCGGTCCCCGCCGCGCCCCGAGATGGCCGCCACGGGGCCCGGCGGGCGCAGCCCCACCGCCCGCCCCACCGCCCGCTCAACGCAGGGCTCGCCGGTACCTCGCAGGGCCTCTCCTCCGCGCCGCGCCTCGTGCTGCCCGGCGGGGCTGAGGTCGGCGTCGTACCACCCACAGAAGCGGTTCTCCAGGTTCCAGGCGCTCTCGCCGTGGCGGACGAGCACGAGGCGGTGTGCGGCCATTGCTGCTCCGGCACTCAGCTCTCACGCTCCTCCCGCTGCCGCCGCCGCGCGCGACTGACCCACCCCGCACCGCCCCGCGCCGGGCAGTGCGAGGCGCGCATGCGCAGACAGACGGAGGCGGTGGGCGAGGGAGCACGTAGCGCATGGCGGGGCAGCGAAGGGCGGCGCGACCTTCGGGCTGTGACGTCACCGCGCCGCGCCGTGGGCGCCGCTGCCCTCACTGCAAATGGCGGCGGGAGCCGGAAGCGGAAGTGAGGCGAGGCGGGGCGGGGCGGGGTGGCACGTGGAGCGGGGGCGAGCATGGCGCGGTGCGGGAGGCTGCGGGCCGGTACCGCCACTAAGCTGCGGCGGTGGCGGAAGGGACACAGCAGCGACTGCAATCCCGAGACTCGGCGGCACCGCCTGGCCGCGCGAAGCCGTTTCTACAGCCGGCCTGCCGGTGAGCGGCCTGGGGGCCGGGGTGGGACGCGATGGGGGCGGCGCAGGGTTGGAAAAGACCTTAAAACCCACCCGTTTCCGACCCCTGCCGTCGACTGGTTGCCATCCGCTGTGTCAAGGCCTCTGGCCCGTCCAACTGGGGCACCCACAGCTATCTGGGCAGCAGTGCCTGGGCCTCTCCACCTTCTGAGTAATGAATTTCATCCTAAACTCAATGCCTCACTCTTCTGCACCCCTCGTTGCAGTGCTTTTCCTATGGCAAAAGCAACATCCGCGTCTCATACTGGCAGGGGAGGGTGGTGGGGATGTGGGACAGCCTGACCCCGAGTCTGCTCACCTGGCAGAGAAAAGCAATCTGACGGTGGATGCGGTGAAGCTGCACAATGAGTTGCAGTCAGGATCCCTGCGTGTGGAGCGGCCAACTGACAGCTCTCAGTTGCCCATGGAGGAGGGTGATGCTGGGGAGGCTGCCACCCAGAAGTCCTCCGGCACCTTCCTGAGCGGGCTGAGCGACTGCACCAATGTTACCTTCAGCAAGGTGCAACGCTTCTGGGAGTCCAACTCCGCTGCACACAGAGAGGTACCAGGGAGAGTGGGGCTGGGTGTGGGGTCCTGGGCATAGCTCCCATCCTGAGCAAGAATCCAAGGGTGCTGACGGCTCCGCTTGCTGTTGTGGCAGATCTGTGCTGTGCTGGCAGCTGTGACAGATGTGATCCGCTCACAAGGAGGCAAAGAGACTGAGACTGAGTACTTTGCTGCACTGGTGAGTGACCACCACTGGGTTTGATGGGAGCTCCCAGGGGTGCTATGCTCGTGTTGGAGGCTTTGGGCATCCCCTAGAAGAGACACTGTCAAGTTGCCCTTTGTTTCTCTATCCCCTTCCCCAAAACTTTGGGAAAGGCTGGCCTGCTGCAAACCCCTCCTTTTTTCCCCAGATGACCACACTGGAGGCAGTGAATTCCCCTGAATCAGTGGCTGCTGTTGCATACTTGCTTAACCTTGTCTTGAAGCGGTGAGCTGCTGACTGGAGTGGGTAGAGCTGCCACGGCAGGATGGGGTCTGGCACAGTCTCAGAGGTGGACTGGGAGTGCCAATCCCTATGTGATTGCCTGCTCTTTGCCCTTTCTCCCCACAGAGTTCCCAGTCCAGTACTCATAAAGAAGTTCTCAGATGCTTCAAAAGCCTTCATGAGTATCATATCCTCACAGGCCTGCAGCAGCTCCACCTCTGCACTGCGATGGGTGAGTTGCAGAGAAGGGCAGGCTCTCTGGCGCATTCAGGGTGGTCTCTGTAAGGTAATACCAATATCCTTGCTGTCTCTTTGTAGGTCCTCTCATGCCTGGCCACACTGCTGCGAAAACAGGATTTGGCAGCGTGGAGCTACCCTGTCACCCTCCAGGTCTACCATGGCTTGCTGAGCTTCTGTGTTCACACCAAACCCAAGGTGGGTTCTCAGCACCTCGTAGGTGTTGCTCCATGGCTTGGTTCTGGAGCTGGCTGTGCTCTCTGTGCCCATGGTTTCTATGCCCCTGTATTCACCCACCTCCAGGTTCGGAAAGCAGCTCAGCATGGTGTGTGCTCCGTCCTGAGGGGGAGCGAGTTCATGTTTGGAGATGAGGCTCCTGAGCACCATCCTGCGGCACCCTCCAGTGCCAAGTTCTGCGTGCAGGAGATTGAAAAAGCTGGAGGTGGGTAGGGACAAGAGGGCGAGAGGTTTTGCAAGAGTTTAGGAGAGCCCTTAGCCATCTTTCTGTTGTTCCCTTCTTCCCAGAGCGGGGCTTCAGTTCACCCCAGCTCTGACATGGGGTCTCTGCCCAAGGCTGTTGTTACAAGTGTGGGTGCTGCTCTGCTCCACCAGGCACCAAGGAGGCTACCACCACACTGCACATGCTGGCCCTCCTGCGGGACCTGCTGCCCTGCTTCCCTGCAGCTGTGCTGAAGACATGCTGTGAGACCCTGCTCAGAGTCATGACTCTCAGCCATGTGGTCAGTTCCCTTGCGTCCCTGCACACAGCGCCTGTGCCAGTGCCTCTACCTCAGCTCTGGCAGGCATCAGGCTGCCTTACTGGGAATCTGCAGGACCTGAAATCAGAGCATCCCAATCAGAGCTGGCTGGTTGGCTACTGTAGAAAAGGGGGGCATAGATGGGAAGCCCCAGTGGAGATGGGGTGTCCCTGTGGGTTGGGCAGAGCATGCTTGGGGGTAGGAGCGTGAAGCACGGAGGTTCAGTTTCTTCTGACAACGTGTCCTTGCAGTTGGTGACAGCATGTGCCATGCAGGCCTTCCATAGCCTATTCAGTGCCCAGCCCAGCACGTCCTGCCTGCCAGCTGAGCTCAATGCCCAGATCATCACCGTGAGTGCGGGAACAGATAGGGAGGGATGGGGCTACTGGCACCACTGTTCCCAACACCACTTTGCTCCCAACCCTAGGCACTGTATGACTACGTGCCCAATGCCAGTGACCTGCAGCCGCTGCTCACCTGGCTGTCCACCATGGAGAGGGCACACGTCAACCTGGGCAGGTGGGGAGAGGCTGGCACTGGGCAGAGGGAAGACCGAGCTCCATCTCTCACCATTCTTCTCTCTCTTCTCCAGACTGCAGAAGGACCTGTGCTGGGCTCACCTGCCCCGTCTCTTCTCGACCACCATGAATTGCTTCCTGTCCCCACACTCGCAGGTGGTGGCAGCTGCAGCACAGACCCTTGAGGTACCAAGTGCGCACTGCCTAGGTCCTTGTGGCCAGGCTGGGATCTGGGATCTGCCTGGGCACTTGAGGCTGCTCTGTGTTGGGTCTTAGTCGTCTGTCCTGCCCTGGGCTGGCACATGCACAGCTCAGCACCCAACTATTTCCATGTTTGCAGACCCTCCTGAATGAGTGCATTGCTCCCCACATGGATGAACTAGGCAATGTCTCTGCATCTGCTCCAGCCCCTGGTTCCTACCTTTGCAAGATGTTCAGGTGAGGAACGGTGGTGGGTGGGAGAGGCTGTCACCATGGGCCCAGCTCGGTCCTTGTCACCACCAATCTCTCCTTGTCAGGTCGGTGGAGGAAGGCCTGACATACCGTTTCCATGCTGCTTGGGATGGCGTGCTGCAAGTACTGGAGGTTTTCTTCGAGGTGTGTGGGAAGCAGTGCCATCCCATCATGAAGAAGGTGAGCCAGACGGGGAGTCTTCAGGGCCAGTACGCTCTGGTGGCTCCTTGCTCAGCCTCCTGCTTGTCCCCACAGTGCCTGCAGTCCTTGTGTGACCTGCGCCTCTCTCCACACTTCCCCTACACCACTGAGGTGGATCAGGCGGTGGGGGCTGCTGTTGGTGCCATGGGCCCTGAGGTGCTGCTGGAAGCTGTTCCCCTGCAGATCGACGGCAAGGAGTGAGCATGACCCTGGGTTGGTCTGGGGGGTCCACCGGTAGCAGATGCTTATCTTTAGCAGAGGAATTTTCTTCTGTCAGCTGGGGCCTGTCTGCTTGATCACAGCAGGCACCTTGTGTAGTTCCCGGCCTCAGCTGCTATGATGGCTGCCTGGAGTCTCACTGTGCCCAGCTCTGGGGCTGTGCCCCATGCCTAAAGTCTGATGCTCCCTTGACCTTCTCCCTCCGCAGGGAGACTCTGGATTTCCCCCGCAGCTGGCTGCTGCCTGTGCTGCGGGACTACGTGCAGGGCACACGGCTTGGCTTCTTCACCAGCTACTTCCTGCCCTTGGCAGCCACTCTGAAGAGCAGAGGTGAGGAGCAGTGGATGGCGGGGCTCTGGGTACGCAGTGTTGGGTGCTCTGCAGGAGCTCCACTCAGGGCAGAGCCACCTCCACTGTTCTGTTCATTTCCCCCTCCTCTTTTGCAGCCTTGGAGTTTGCCCAAGCTGGGAAGAGCCTTGAATCCAAGATCTATGACACACTGCAGTGGCAGGTAACAGAGTGCCTGCCGCCCCCACCACTGCCTACCTGCAGTGCTAGCCTGAGTCCTGGCTGAGGGATGATGGTCTTCCACTGACTCCTTTGCTTCCAGGTCTGGACCCTGCTGCCTGGCTTCTGCACCCGCCCCACAGACGTGGTGGAGGCTTTCAAGGGGCTGGCACGCACCCTGGGCATGGCCATTAGCGAGCGCCCGGACCTCCGCCCCACCGTGTGCCAGGCCCTACGCACCCTCATCCACCACGGCTGTGGGACAGGTTGGGCACAGACATTGCCATGGCAAGGGGGACCGTCCCTGTTCCCAACAGTGACCCAGTGAGGGCAGATGTGTGTTGTGATGCTGATGCGCACACCCTTGTCCTTCTTTCTCCAGATGCAGAGCGAGCAGAAGTGGGTCGTTTTGCCAAAAATTTCCTGCCCATCCTATTCAACGTGTATAGCCAACCTGAGGAGGATGGGGGCAGCAGTGGTCAACGGCGCTCTGTGCTGGACACAGTGCGTGCCTATCTGACCATCACGGACCCACAGGTGAGTATCTGGGGATATGGGGCAGGCTGCTGGCCATAGCCATTTTCTTCTGGCACTGGAAGGTCTTGCTGAGCCAGCTGGAGAGCCTGCAGCTTGATTCCAGGTGTGCATAGGCACAGGAGGGGCTGCATGACTGACTCTGTGCCTGCCCTGCAGATGGTGTGTGGGTTCCTGCAGAAAGCCAGTGAGAAACTGACCAGTCCTGAGAGCACAGAGTTTGCCAGGTAACACCCAGGGGTTGATACTGAAGGGTGAATCTGTTGGGTCCCTCCTACTGAGCAGCGCTCAGGCTGTCTCCTGTAGGATACGTCATTCTCATGCATCAAACAGAGCTCTTAGGCAGAGTCCTAAGCTTGGTTGGGGAGTGTTGATGGTCCTGTGCTTATCTCCCTCCTTATTCCTCTGTGCTGCAGGCTCTCCATTCTGGACCTGGTTGTGGCAATGTCTCCCTATGCCAGTGAGCAGGCCCTAGGCTCCCTGTACCAGACTATCCAGCCTTCCCTCCAGGTCAGTTTGCTCCCAGCCTCAGCAGCACAGCGAGGCCTCTCACTGTGCCAAAGGCCATCCTGACGGCAGTGTCACTGCTTGTCCGTGCAGAGCAAGGACCACAGCATGCAGAAGAAGGCATACCGTGTGCTGGAGGAAGTATGTGCTGCCCCGCATGCCCCGTGCCAGGCCTTTGTCCACTCACACCTGGAAGACTTGCAGGCAGTGCTGCTGGATTCACTCAAGAGCGCAGCGTCCCCAGCCAAGAGGGTGAGAGCGAGGGCTGCTGTGGGAAGGGGATAGGGCTGTGTCCCTGTATCTGACTGTGCTGGGCTCTTTCTCTCCTCAGCCCCGGCTGAAGTGCCTGTTCCACATTGTAAAGCAGCTCTCAGCTGAGCATGAGCCCTTCATCACTGCCCTGGTTCCAGAGGTGAGTGTGGGACTTGGGTGCACACTTGGGTGACCGTGGGGTTGTGACATGCTTTGTGCCTCCAGGTCATCCTGTGCACCAAGGAGGTGTCGGTGGGAGCCCGTAAGAATGCCTTCATGCTGCTGGTGGAGATGGGACATGCTTTCATCCGCTTTGGGCCCACTCCCCAAGGTAAGCAGCTATTGCTCAGCCCCACCACTGCTCTCATCCAGGGGGTCAGACCTATGCTTGCCCCACGTCCTGAGCTGTCTCCTCTTGCAGAGGCTATGGAGCGGTTCCTGCTCTTGGTCTACGCGGGGCTGACAGGTTCGGTCACCATGATCAGCTGCACAGTGCTGGCACTCACACGCCTGTTCTTTGAGTTCAAAGGTAAGCTACAGCTGCAAGGACAGAGTATGGGGGCACAGCAGTGCCAGGCAACAGGACAGGACTGTGCCCGCCAGTGCACACTGAGCACTGCTGCATTGCAGATTACATGGAGCTGAGCGTGGTGGAGCAGCTGCTGCAGAACATCTGCCTGCTGCTGGGCTCTCGCACACGTGATGTGGTGAAGGCAGCTCTGGGCTTCCTTAAAGTCGTGCTGCTGCTGGTTGACACCACACTGCTGGCCAAGCACATCCAGACTATGGTGAGAGCACCGCACGGGGCGGGAGGGCGCAGCTGAGCTGCTGTAGGATAGGTGTGAGCGATGCAGGGAGGTGGCAAGAGGGGTGCAGAGAAGGGTGAGGGACCAGGTGTTCAGGACAGGGGTCTCTGACCTCAGAAGTCTGTCTGTGCTGGCAGCTGGAGGCCATAGGCAGCCTTTCAGATGACATGAGGCGCCACTTCCGCATGAAGCTGAGAAACCTCTTCACCAGATTCATCCGCAAATTCGGGTGAGCCGGGGCTGCTGGGAGCAGTGCTGAGCGCTGTGGGAGTTTCCTGCACTGCTCTGCAGGAACTAAATGCTTTTTGTCCCCTCAGCTTCGAGCTGGTGCAGGGACTGCTGCCAGCTGAGTTCCACAAGGTTCTGGTGAATATCCGCAAGGCTGAAGCTCGCAGCCGCAAGCAGCGTGCCCTGAGGCAAGCAGCTGCAGAGACAGAGGAGGAGGAAGCACCAGCCCAGCCCAGAGGAGACAGGTAGAGATGGGCTGGGGTGAAGCCTCAGCAGAGGGCCTGGTGCTGGATCTGCTTGGGTGACACCCGTAGAGATGCTGATGGCATCACTGGGATTGACATACGATGCTGTGGGCAGGCTGGGGCTTGCATCTCTGCTTTGCTCTGCCTGCATTGTGCTTTCTTCCTTGTGCCCAGCATGGAGGAGATCCTGGCAGACTCAGAGGAGGAGGAGGAAGAGGAGGAACGGCAACGGGGCAAGGTGCGGAAGAAACAAGCACGGCAGAAGGGCCAAGCGTGGCTGAAAGAAGGGGAAGAGGATGAGCCTCTCAACTTCCTGGATCCCAATGTGTCCCAGCGAGTGCTGAGTGAGCAACAGAACCTTTGTAGTGGGGTACAGCTGACTGGGGAGTGGGTCCTTCCCCAGGCCCTGACTCATCTCTGTGCGTAGCCACTGAGCCAAGCCTGAAGAGGTCCAGAGGAGTGAAGCACGACTTCCAGGTGTCTGAGGATGGGCGCCTGATCATCCACGATGAGGAGGAAGAGGTGGACAATGATGAAGCCAAAGGTACTGTCTAACTGGACTTGCTCTGAATCATGGTATGGTTTTCTTCCTGCCCATCTGTACGTATGCACTGACTCCTTTGTCCTGTGCCCCAGGAGTGGACGAGGAAGTGGCAGATGTGCTGCAAGAAGTGGGCCTTCGCAGTGTGAGTGTGGGGCACAGGGGAAACACAGCATGCCTGAGCTGTGACTGCCTAGGAGCTGCTTAGAGTGGGGCAGGAGGCTGCAATGGGGCAGAGGATGTGTGGTGGGTGTGGAAGGTCTCTGGGTCCCATGGAAAGAAGCAGGAAGTCATGGGCCCATGGAAGGACAGCACTGTAAGGACAAGCTAGCTGCAGTGACCCCGTATCTTTTTTCTGCAGAAGAAAAGTCAGAAGCGTCGGTTCAGAGAAGAGCCAGATGATGATGAACCAGAGACTGGGACCTACTCTCAGTACAGAGGTAATTGCATGTCATGTCTGTGCCCACTCTGCGGGTGCCAGAACAGGCTGGGCTGCTCCAAGGCAGCTGGCTCTAAGTTCCTTGCTTGTGTAAAGTTATTGCACTTTCATGCTGCTCTCCTGTCCTCACACCTAAGAGCTGGAGGCAGAAACAGGAACAGCTCCCCCAGTATGGCAGGTGGGGAGGAGAAGCCTGGCCTTGACCCCCCTTTCCAATACTTACTCTTTTCTAGCTGGAGGCTCTGGGATCCACCGGCCACTGGACAAGAAGCCAGCCTTTGGTGCAGAGTACAGATCCAAGGTGAGAGCCCAAGAGGTGGCAGAGTTTTGAGGAGAGATGTCTTGGCTCTGCTGGGGCAGGATTTCTGCTGGTCTTGGGGGCAAGGAAGCGCTGTGCTCCAAAAGGAGTTGCCCAATGCTCAGTACTCGTTAATATTTCCAACCTGCCTGGCAGTTCCTGCTCACCTCACATGTGCTTGGTGCTGTGGCATCACTTGGGTGGGAGATCGGCCCTGGGAGCCACATGCACAGCTGGCACCCCGTTGCAGCATAGCCTTTGATGTGACTGTGTACCAGGGCTGTCCAGAATGGAACACTCACATTTCCCTTTGTGCTGCATCTCATCCAATATTGGTATATCCTACAGAAAGGCAAAGGTGATGTGAAGAAGAAGGGCCAGCTCGACCCCTATGCCTACATCCCCCTGAACAGAGCTAAACTCAACAAAAGGTGGGACTGAGCAGGAAGGGCATGGGGTAGGGAATGGGGGATATCCTGGGTCTGATCCTGTTCACTGTTACCATTTTTCATGGTCTGAGGGCTCCCTGCCCACCTCTGTGTTGCTCATTGCAGCCACTTTGCACAGGCCTGTGCAGGGGCTGTGCCTTGTACCCACACTAACCTGTCTGCTTGCTCCTTCCTCCCTCCAGGAAGCAGGCAAAAATGCAAGGTCAGTTCAAGGGCCTGATGAAGGGTGCCCAGCGTGGGGCCAAGGCTGGGCGCAAGAACCGGCTGAAGGACCGTCGCCCTTGAGGAGCTGTGGATGCTGTGTGCACTTGCCTGAGGACTGGTGATAACCTGAGGTGTGCAGGCACAGGGGGACAGGGACTTTGTGAGGGCACACTCCCTAGGAAGGTACCCCTATGGACTCCTGGCCCTGTCCTCCTGTGCCTAAAAGAAGGTGATGTAAGGTGACTGCTCCAGGTGTGTGTGTGTGTGTGTGTGTGTGAGTGAAAGTAAATAACATGTAATGAGCTCTGTATTGACAAACATCTCCTGTTAATATCCAGCCTGGACTCCTCGTTTCTTTCCTGCAAACACCTCACACAGCATGTCCCCTGCAGTGCAGCAGGTCCTGGGACGGAGGAGCTGGAGCAGGAGCCCTCTGTGGTGTCTGTCCTGTGGCTGTCACTGGTTCTGCATCTGCTTTGCCCATCTCTTACTGCAAGGCAGAAAGAGTTTTGCTGCAATGTTTTTTTCTGGCTGAAAAACTGCTGCTGTTAACCTCAGTGTCTGGGCTTTTCTCTTACCTGGGAGAGCTGAGATGGAGCCTTTGCTCTGCTCTGACCACATCCCAGCAGCGCAAGTAATTCTGGGTCTTTAGCTGCCCAGGTTAGATGAGCAGCTGTTTTCACCCAGTTATTTCTGCTGAGCCCAAAAGATGGTGTTTGGCCAAAGCATGCTGAAGAAAAGAGTGGAGCTGAGGGTAGCAAATAGAGGATACAGGTCCCATGGCTCACAATGCAAAGAGCGTGTATTTGTGAATGTATCTTTCTTCCTCTTTTGTATTAAAAAGCCTTTAGTCCTTTGTCATTTCCTATCATGGTAGCTTACATGCTGGAATTGCAACGCTTTTCAGTCTCCTAATAAGCTAAAGAGATTGTGCTTGTTCAGCCTCTTACCGTGGGCTGCTTTCTGTAGGCTGCAAATCCAGTTTGTGGCTCTCTGCTTCTTTTTGTTTGGTTGTTTTCTTTTTTTTCCAAGATCCCTTTAAAAGCTGAGGAGCTGTTGTACTGGTGTTGCTATGCCTTGGCTGGAGAACTATCTCTATCCTGCACTGCTCATGGTCTCTCTTGGACCCTTGAGCCACTGATGTGCCCAAGTGCTGCTGCTCTGATCCTGCCAGAAGGCAGCTTGCAGCCTTGGCTTACAGGACAGGCAGCTCCAGCAGAACCTCCTATCCAAATTCAGCCAGAGGAGCTGTGTGGCTGCAGCTAAAGCCTCATTGCCCTGATACCCTTCATCTCCTAAGTGGCGGGATAGTGAGAAAATGTGTAATTGCTTTCCAAGCTAGCCAACACCTGTAACCTGCATCTGTGAGCCCATCAGAACTATCTTTCTGGTTTTTTTCTTCTCTCCTTGGAGACAAGGCCTGGAGAAGGTCGTTGCTAATTCATTTAAAAGCTCCAGATTACTCACTGCACTGTTCTTCATTTGCATGTTGTTGCTTAAATTAGTGTATGCCTGTGTGGAGCAGAAGAGTTTCATTAGCACAGAGGATGGTGTTGCCTGAGCCGGTGTCCAGAGAACAGATTCTTCCACAACATCTTGTTAATCAGCTAATTAATCATGTAATGCAATAGAAACCCTTGCAGGGGAGACGTCATCGTGTCCAGGCTCCAAGTCGAGCAGCTCTCCACTAGCAGCTGTCTCTGGCAACGAGCACAGCTCTGTTTCTAGGTCCCACAGAGCCCTGCTGTGGGGCAGGGTAAGGGGTGATGCGAGTCCCACCTCCCGCAGATGCCAGCCGCAGCTATTTTGCAGTTACCTGCACAGAAGCCCAGGTACTGGAGAGAGGCTTTGTTTTCAGTGTTCAGCATCGCCTCTGAGCGCTCCGCAGCGCCTCTGGGGCTCCTCAGTGGTGTGGAGCAGCCGGCGGGGCTGCAGGTGAAGGCACACAGCGAGGTGCGGGGCTGGGGAAGCCCCTCGTGGGGGCGGTAGCAGAACCTCTGTGCTCGCGTGCGATGATTGGCAGGGAGATGAATAGGTGCGGGGGCTTAGGATGCCAAGGGACCGCTTCAGCCGAAATCTAGTCAATTACAAAAACTGCCAGATTAATTTCCAGCCTCCTCGGCATTCTGATCTACACTTCTGCTTACTGTATCTATAAAGTCTTCTCTCCTTGGTCGTTTCCTGAGCGATGGGTGCAAGAGCGCCCCCCGTCTAGAAAGCTTTCAGGGGCGCTGGGACCGAGGGCAAGGCGGAAGCCTCCACGCACGAAGGAGAGCGTCCGCCTCAGTGCCCTTCTTTCCGAACTCGTGCCCGGAGCCGCGAAGAGCCCGCAGTCCTTGCCGCTGACCCGAGGCTCAGAGCGGCCGCTCCCGCCTACAACTCCCATCGTGCACCGCGCGCAGGGGGGGTGCGTCTGTTTCGCTACGCGCGGATCGTCCTTTGTCCGTTCGAACCGACCAATGGTAGCGAGGCGGTAGCGCCTCCAGCCAATAGTGACGGGCAAGCCGGGAGGGGCGGGACCGCGGGGTGGCGCGTCGGGCCAATGGGGAGGCGGGGCGGCAGGTATGAGATGGCGGCGGGAGCGCCGGCGGTCGGTGCTCGGCGGGGCGGCAGGTAGGAGCGGGGCGCCGCCCGGGATGCGGGGCGCGTTCTCGCATGGTGCGGCAGAGGCGTGGAGCCGGGGGTCGGTGTGCCCGGGCCTGAGCGGCGCCGAGCGGCGACGGGAAGCGCAGCCTGGCCCGCAGTGCCGCATTGCGGGCCGCCCTCGGCGCGGTGTGCCGCAGCGCTCGGTTCCGAAAGAGAAGCAGCTGTAATTGCAACCGGCTTCTTCGCAAGCTCTTTTCCCACAGCTGCCGGTCGCGCAGCATACGATGAGCTGTTCCCAGAACCGCCCGCCGGCTGGCTCGGCGGAACTCGGCACGTTCGCTCTCGGCTGGTAACGCTCCAACGCCCCGAGCCCGGTGCGGAGCTGTGGTTCGGAGGCAGGAGCCGCTGCCTCGGGCCGTCCCTCCCTGCCCGGCTCCTCCCCGCAGCCCCCCACCACTGGGTGCTGTGATGTCCTGCTCGCCCGGAGCCCACGGTGCCACTGGGCGCCTCCCTGCCCCCCTGTGCCCTCCCGCCCACGCTGCCACGGGATCTCGCGGATAACCCGCGGCTGCGGTACGCGGCGTGCGCAGCGAGCGGCTCCGCTCGGTCAAAATAAAACGGAACAGTCATAGAATCGCAGAACGGTTGCGTTGGAAGGGACATCAAAGGTCATCCTTTTCCAACCCTCTGCTGCAGGCAGGGGTGCTGACCGCTACAACCGTTAGGTCCGGGCCGCATCCAACCCTGAATACCGGCAGGGATGGGGCAGCTTGTCACACAGCGTGTTGTGGCTGCTGGGAAGCAGCCGTCCCGGTCCCGCTGCACAGGGGCTCCCAGCTCCGCTCCCTGTGCACAGCCCCACACCACCCTTGCACGCGAGCTGCGTTTTCTCTCGTTCTCTGTCTGCGGTGTGTCCTGATCATTTTCCCTGTCCTTCCTCGCCCTCCTTTTTAATAGTGTCTCCAGAAAAGCTGGCAAGTTCAGTTCTATCAGTCACGCTGACTGATAGCGCTGCCTCTCCTCTTGGGATTCCTCCTCTTTTCTGTCCCTCCAGCATTCATTTCGGCGTCAGCTCGCAGCCCTCTGAAGGCAGGGGATTGCCTTTGTTCTGTGTTTGTACAGCACGGAGCACAGCGGAGTCCCCAGCTGTGACTGAGGTTCCCAATGCCACAGTGATAAAAGTGAATAGAGCAGTAATGAGGAGAGGCAGCTGCTGCCATCTAAAAGGTTCCATTTTGGTGCTGGTTTCTGTGAAATTACAATTGGATCTAAGGCAGCTCCTTTACAGCTGCTTTGTATAAAGGTTTACATTAAAATAAATATATTTACCAACTTTGTGTTGCACTGAAAGTCATGAAAATTGTAATGGCATTATTTATTTAGATTGTGTTAAGGCAGATGTATGAACCTGCAAATCCTTAATGCAGAAGTACTGGGTTTCTGGCAGTAGCTGTGTTCCTGAGAGCTTAGGGAGCGTAAGACAGGATCTGGATGTATCCCATGCTGCAGAATCGGCCCAAAAAGCAGTGCTGACATAGGATATGGCTTTGTGAGCAGCTCTGCATTGAGTCTGCAGCCCCAAGGTGCCTTTCAGTCCTCCTCCCTTAGCACCAGAAGGTGTCTGGGTGCTGTGATGTGCTGCAGGCTGATTGAAGTGTGGCTTTGCTGACTTTACAGCATTCCAGTGGATTTTATGAAGAACACCATAAAAGAATTCTCTGCGTTCTCAGTTGGAACATTTCATGTTGAAATGCAAAATTCTCAATGTTTCAAGCTGCCTCGCAAGCAGTCTGGTTTGCCATCAGTAATGTTTTCCATTTTCAGTTTGTTCCAAGCCCGCTTTCCCCCTCTTGCAGCCCTTTATCATTCTGGATAGGTCTGTCTCCAGGTTTGCATTACACATGTGCAGCTGATATGGCTGAGGTCTGTTCAGGTCTTTTGCAGAGACAGAATTTGAATTCATCGATGGTAGCAGGAATTTGGATATCCAGTTTATCCAATGCCCAAAAGATGGCCGATTGCTGCATTAGTTCCAGGTTGTCCAGCACAGGCTGCTATCACATAATAGCAGCTTTGTTCCCCAGTTCCCTGCTGTTTAAATTGTATATTATTATCTGATTCCCATAGCCAAAAGGCTGAATCACTGCATGTCATCTGTTTAGCTGTGAAGAAAGCAAAGCAACAATTAAAAAAGGCAGTTTTTATTACGGCTCACTAGGATGAAGCCTAGAAACAGTGGTCAAGGCTTGGCACTCACTGTGCTATGCGCTGTGCGCTCATCACAAAAGGACTCTCTTTGCCCTTAAAGACCTCATGAGTGTAACCCTCGGCAAATTCGCTGCGTGTTTTTCTTGACATTTTTCAGAGGCAAATCAGTCACCCTATAGGGAGTTACTGTGCTAAATCTGAGGGCTGAATGTGATCTTTGTGATGCTGTCTTACAAGAATGTCGGTCCCAAGTACAGCCCTCAAAGCAACCTTAGCAGTGAAGTCACTTCTCGTGTCTCTGCAGCCCATTCCCACTAGAGTTCTTTTAATTTTATTTTATTTTTTATCTAGGAAATAATTCGTCTTCTAGTCTTTTTGTACTTAAAATGATTTCACATCATTCCACTCTGGTCCTTTCATCTCTTAGCAAAATATGGGATGGCTCCTATCTGGCTCTGGAATACTGCCTTCAGACGCCCTCATTAATTGATTCCTTGCTCTGGCACAGCACAGGGACGATGCTCCTTCTCTCTCCCCAGGGAAATGCGAGCCTGGGCGCATCCATCCCATCTTCCTTTGTGCTTAGCCAGGCACAGAATCCCTGTGTTTTGTGTTCCCCAGCAGTGTCTGCTTATCGCTCTGCGCTCAGTTCTCGCTGCTTGCCTGGCTGTTCCTCAGTCGAAAGATTTTGTTATTATACGGGGAGATTTTCTTCCATTATCTGCCTTATTTTCAAAAGCTCTTTAATCCTTTTTCTCCTGCCTGGTAAGACTCGCCTGCTGCAGTGTGGCTGAGGCATGAGCTTTCCCGCGACAACATCCCAAGTGCACAAAGTGATGTTGGGCTGCATTCTGCCTGCTGAATGAGGTACATTGGGCTGCCCTGAAATCTGCAGCTTCCAGCTCTTCCACTTTCCCAGCAACAAAAACACAGCTCGTTTCTTGCCCCAGAGGTGCCTCATCCTTCTTTCTCGGCTTATTTGTGTTCTCCTTATGCTCTACTTCATGATGCTGGAATCTGCTTCTTCCTTTGCGTGTATGGACTTGCATCTACTTACAGGTATTTGAATTGTTCTGAAGCAGGCAGGTCTCCCTCATCAGAACACGACTTGCTTCCACGTGCGCTGATTTCCTGCTCGCGCCCCAGGTGCAGTCACCAGGTTGTGCCGGTTAAAATCTCACTTTTGTCCTCGCTTCCAAGGCATTTCCCCTGTTTGGATCTAGTTACCTTAGGGATTAATTGATCCATCATGATTTTGACCTCCTGCACCATCCACTCCCCATGAAATGATGGGGCTGTCATGCCTG